TCTTGACAATTTTGGGACAAACTTTAACAAATTGTAGCTAATTCCACTTAGCTGCGAGATGTTGCGTTCACTCTTTCCGTGATTGTTTTTTCACCCGTTTTCTGGCACTCGTTTGGTAATTGGCAAGGAAGGTTTGATCACCCTATCTTTTTTTACGATTTTGCTCTTGCCGCAGCACCTTTCTTTTATTCTACTTGTTTCTCGAGGAAAGATGTACTTTGAGCTCATACTGTAAACTCTAAAAAAAGTCAAGTTTCGGAATGATACACAAAAAAAACGGTGAGATAAATAGAATGATCTGTTTGTATAACAAAGATATGGGGCACCAACAGAAATGAAAGCATCACCCATTGTTGCCACCTGCTGTTAGGATAATAAAGCAATTGCTTGCAATTATCGAAATTCACGGCTTGCTGCAGTATGCGCTTTGCCCCGAAGCGCCATGTCGAGAATTTCCCCGAAACTATAGGTATGCCCAAATAACAAAGAATGTTTTTTTTTTTCAAACATTTGTAATATTTTATGCCACATCTGCGACGTGGTGTCCGCCACTGCGCTAACCATTACAGAAAAAATCTGTGATTGTACACATGTAGTAATTTTTCTACATCATTGTAATAATAAATATTTTCTTTCTCTCTCTCTCTCTCTCTCTCTCTCTCTCTCTCTCTCTCTCTCCCTCTCTCTCTATAATATGAAGAAAACGTTTCATTATTTCTGTAAGTATGACAGTATTAATTAATTTAGAAATGATATGGATTTTTAAAAGACGCATCTTCAGTTTTAGACAATACCAATTAAGTTTTAAGCAGCGTGGATTTAACTAAAAATGAATTCGTTGAGATTCAACGTAGTTGCAATATGTTCAAAGACGAGAGGCAGTTACAATCGCAGAATGTCAAGTGTCGCCTATAGAGAAGAATTGGTGTAGTGGTACATCTAATACATATAGGAATGATCGTTACGTTGTCGCGCATTATACTCCCTCAACGTCGATCAAGCCGACGGATTACGCATGTCCTGGCAGTTGCGCATCCTTCCTGGGCGTTCCAAAGAGACCGCCAATCGGCGAAACCCTCTAATACCATCCATCCGGCGGGCTGACCAATGATAGGGCCGGGGTGTATCAGCGCGGGTGTCATCGGGCCACTCAGACTACGCGATATTATCACTGTCGTAAAGAGTGCCAGCGGGGCGGTTGGTCGGTAGGGAGTGTGCGAGCGGGGCGATGATGGTGTACGTTGGTCATCGATCCTACGACTCTGGGAATCGACGCTGCCTCAGGCAGCTTCGACCGCGGTATTCGAAGCACAGCATCTGACGGACAGGGGTAAGTAAGTGGAAGAGGGCGGACGTAACAGTTTAATCCAGCCGCCAACCATATCCAGTATATCTCGGATATAGTGTGCGATATATCGATAAAAAATGTCATTAAATGCTATTCAATAAATAATAACTTGATTAAGTGGCAAATTTATGCAGTTTTCAAAACAACAAATAGAAAGACAAAAATATACCCGTAATGTTCTTATATAACATTAGTTTAAATATATCTTTGCAACAAGATTCAATGTGTTTGAATTATTTCTTTTTTGTTTTTGTTTACAAAAAAAACAGAAATATGTTTAACCTTATTCCTTCTTCGCCCTAATAGTGCCGTAAAAATGGTGGGTGCACCTTGTGCACACTTTTTTGCCGTAGATTCTTTATCCTTCGTCGCTTTTTCATAAATTGGAATTTCGTCCATGAGATTAATATTTGATCGAGGTCCGGCTTCCGTGAAATTTGCGATGTTTAGACGTATCAAAAAGACGATTTCTAGATCAAAAGGAAAAAGGGAAGGAACGTTCTCAATATCTTTGATGAATCGACAGGCAGCTGTAAATTTTAATCAAGATCATCATCGAGAAGAGAAAAAAAATACATATACTCGTTTTTTCTACTTACAAGTTTTATCTTTGGTTTATTTCTTATTTTTGATAAAATATCTGAAATTTATAACAGCAAAAATTAATATCGACAAGAAAATATGCCAATAGGAAAACCTAAAATTTGTCTAACAAGTCCAAGCGAAAGGGATATACCCGAGGGTTGAAATCGCTCACCTGTCTCCTGTTCTGAACACACAGGATATGTTCGAACCAGCCGGATATACCGCAGAAACCTTTCTTCTTGGAGTATTCTGCGCAGCGACCCATAAATTAATTTGTCGTAATGATCTTGATCTTTTCTTTGTTAGGGGTTGTCGCATCGCTGCTATTACGTCGGATCTGATAAAGTAACGCAGTAACGTAATTTCGTACCCTACTTTTCGTTCTAAGGCATATACCTGAGGATAGATAGGTAATGATCATCCGAATTCGTTCCGTCTTTGTTTTTTAACGACTTTCGCGCAGATAAAACAAAGAAGCGTTTTTAAAATATGATGAAAAATGAGGTATTGTCTCGTTAAGTATATATGTAACGTATATGTGTATATATAAAAAATATAAATATAATATTAATGCAATCTAAAATTTATATTTTGTCATGATCAGGTTTGTACTGTTTTGATAAATTTCAAGAAAGATGATTTTTCCTTCAACGCAATTGATTGGAGTTGAAAAAGCGAGAGATGTAACAGTTGAATAAAGTTATTTGCGAAAACATTTGGATCGATCGCGACGAGTACCTATTTCTTTCTCTCTGGAAATGAGTTAATGTGGGCGATGATCCGTGAAAAAGCGCAACATGCGCTAACTACGAGAGAGAGAGAGAGAAAGGTACAAGGGTGCCAGAACTCAAGGGTTCGACAATTACTCCTTGGGGGATCGTTATGCACAAACCGAATACAGCGGTTACCCTCGTGTTTATTTGTCATTCGACACTCCATATATTAAACACACAACATACTAACTCATGCTGTTAATCGATGAAAAAGCTATATCCCGACTCTCTGCTCAAACATGTACTGGAAAACTATGTATTACCTATTTTTACAAACATTATTAAACTATAATATTTTTAACTTTCTGACTATCCGAATAAGCTTTTGTTGTGCAAGAATAAACTAGAATATAACTGAGAAAAAGAAACGAGAGCAGGAGGATAAGCGCACGAGAAAAGCACGAGAAGATCGAAGAGAGCACGCAAAAGCCGAAACTAATATTCACGCTGGTATACCTGCAAATTATCATTTCTCGACGGGATGACTGATGGAAACCTCTTAAATCATCTAGATATACTATAACATCTATCCTATCGACCTTCGCGTTCTTCGTGATCGGATGTTGACTATGGTGTATAGAACCCGACATTGGAGCAAATCGTTTTAAACAGTAGTGTGCCGGCTCGCACGAGACACAAGAGAGGTTCCTGGATATATAATTGTCGAAAAAAAAGATATGCTTCTTGCGTAAGAATTCAGTCAAGGACTCTGAAATTGTGTCTGCGCCAGGAATTTCGCGAGACAGAGCAGTTTCATATTTGAATCTTCGCGGAACTCATCGGTCGAACAGATTATCGATTGTACAGATTTTTGCGTGTCTGGACGTCTCCAGCAGATTACTTCCTCAAAAAAGCTGCTGTTGCACAACTTTGTCTTGCAAACATCTTGCATGGTTTGGAAGTAAGAGACAAAGGTCTGCGTGGTTCACGCCACGCACTAGCGCTAAACATGCTGCTGTATTCTTGCATCTTATTGAATGATTATCTTTCCATTAAACTAGTAAAATTTTCAACATAATCTATTGAACATGTTTAATATTAATTTATGTAATTCTTATATACTTTTACTTTTGGCACAATCATTCGCAGATTCGCGAGCGCGCGCGCGTTTAATTTTACATTCCAAATAAATGCGAAATTATCAAAGTTATTAAGCTAGAAATCGTGCTTGCGTTTGCGTGCACCTTACTGAGTGGAAAAGTTTTGAAGCGTTGAGAAACTTTCGACGTAACACGGTAGTGTGAAGACGTACATGTCGCGTGGATAGTAGATATTGCAAAACGAGTGATAAGCATAACGCAACTAATTTAAATAAAAAACAATTGATACGAACTGGAGTAAAGAGAGATGTATACCGACGGAATGCGATATTTCAAAATAGATGTCGACTACTTTTTTCGCGTCTCTTTAAATAATCAAGTAATCAATAACGAAAGTTATTTCTACAAAAAGTTATCGCGCGTTTTGTTACATGTACTTACGAAATATGCGGGAAACCTCTTATTTACATCTACAATACATGGTAGAGAGGCACGTAATCAACCTCCGTGGAGGAAAAAAGCAACTATTCTTCTGATTACTTATCCTCGCACAAGTATGCGTGCGTGCGTGCGTGCGTGCGTGCGTGCGCACGAAAAACACAAAAAAGCGGAGAAGGCTAATAAGAAGAAAGAGAAAGAGAGAAAAAGATAGCAAGAAAAGAGAGAAGTAAAATCTTTTCAGAAGAGATTTGGCAAAAAGAAGATAAAGCAAGTAAAAGTACATACAAGAGCAAGAACATTTGCCCGCTCTCACCCTTAAATTTTCGCTCTCTTCCCCTCCCCCCCTTTCTCTCTCTCTCTCTCTCTCTCTCTCTCTTTCTTTCTATATTTCTTTCTTTCTGCCGATCGACGGAAGCTACAGGCAGCATTTCGCTATAGACATAACTCGGACCATGAGCCACGAGCCACGAGTCACGCGGACCTGCCCGATGCCAACATCCAGCACGCGACAAGACGATACTGTCACCTTCTCCCCTTCTCATTCTCATTCTCTCCCTCTCATTCCACTTCGCGCTTTCGCGCTTGCTCTCTTTCTCTTTCCCCTCTGGCTTGGACGTACACACACGCGCTACGTGCATACACGACGCGTACGCTCGAGCGGAGTAGACACGGGCACGGGCGGTGGCAGAGAGAATACGGGGGACCTGACCAAAAGCAAAGCCCGTAACCCCCGTTTGCAGGCCGAGCCCACTTCAGACACGCCGTGTCCTCCGCGTGGTCCACATCATCCTGCGCCGACAATCTCTCCTTTTCTCACGTTCTTTCTCTTCGCGTTTTCTCTCTTTCTCGTTTTCTCTGTTTCTCCCCGTTTGCGCGCGTGGTGTATCCTTCGCTACGCTCTCGCGCCCTCGCTGTGCTCTACTCTCTAGTATCTGTGCTCTCCCGCGTTTCTCCCTCTTGCCTCCGCCTCTCGTCGACGTTCCTCATCCTTCTTCTCGGGCGCGTTTGCCGAGTGGCCGATTGCAGTCGTCCACCGCGGGTTTGCCTTTGCGTCGTCTGTCGCCAGCCTGCCACTCCGTTGGCTACCAGGAGTAGCTGTACGTGCTCTGCCGACTCGAATGGAAGGTCGGATATGTTGGGAACAAGAAGAAGAAGTCGAGATTGAGAGCATGACTGCGACTTTCAATCAAACAAGCAAAACAAACGGCTTTCCTTGAACGACTACTGGAAGTTGAACGCTTGGTTATCAGCGATTCCAACTACAGTTGAAGTGCAGCAACGATGCGAAGAGATTGTTAAAAAAACAGAAGAGTTTTCCACGAGGACTTTAGCGTTAGCCTTTTCTCTACAGAGGAGGCTTGATTGTGACAACTTCTAATAAGATTATCTTCTCGAAATCAGGATATTTCTACTATGATTGTCGCGATCATAACGATCAGTTCAAGTATTGTTTTGTTCATAAAATAGTGTTAAGTCACGACCTTGACAATTAATCAGATTTCGAAGAGAATAAAAAATGAGCATCTGATGATTTTGGACCAATTTTATGAGGGAATGAATAAAAGAACATTCATCTCACGGAGGCTTCACTAAGAACAGCTGATTGCATATTTTCGCGCGATTATCGGAGCAGAATAAAATTAAAAAGGAGAGAACAGAACATTCGGACAGAAACGCAGTGATAAGAGTATCATCGGTTCTTATAGCAGGAAAGTGATTGTTGAAATAACTTTTCTGCTGTCTGACTGACTTGTACACGTAAGCGTACTATTATATAGTCGGCCTTTCTTTCTTTCTTTCTATCTTTTTTTCTTTCTCTCTCTCTCTCTCTCTCTCTCTCTTTTCTCTGTCTGTTTTTGGCTCTCCGGCTTTTGTGTCATATTTACATCCATTACCGTGAAAACGCAAAATCACTTCCTACGTGAATTGTGCGCGTGTCGTATGTCAAAACGACGAAACATCTCAACAAATTGTCTCGTTTCAAATTGAAGTGTGGCGACGTAAACTCGTATAATGTTGATAAACTGAAGCGGAACGACAACGAAGAGAGAACCGAAATGAGCACGATATCTTTGTAATTAAGCATATCTTTGTAAGCTACTTCGTGCACGAAGAGGATCTTCGAGAAAAACTGATGTCATTCAAAATCTAAGGAGTACTTTAGAAATTACCTAACATCATAAAAATCAACAGGTAAGTTTATAATAATTTAATTCACTCTTTGCTTCAGCTGTTTGAGTTACAGTTTTTCTAGTCATTCTGAACGGAATTGGATTTTTCTTGGAGTTTGCGAAATGTTCAAAAGTTATTTTACTCGTCAGTATCGTTCCCGAATTTTTTCATAAAATTCAATCAGAAAAATTTTGATAAAAAATGAATAACTGTTTTAAATTAGACGGAAACGTCGCGAGAGTTAGTCTCACGATGTTCCTACATTCAAAGCTTCATCTGCCACGATGTTAGCAATAATAATTTTTTAATCTAAAATAAATTATATTTTTGAACGTAATTTTACACGTGTATAAATGATACACGTATTTGTCTCACACGCGCAGTATTTTACATTAAAATGTCAATTTCCATTGATATATTTATCGACACTTATTGAAAATATATGATAATAGACAGAATCCTCTACGATTTTTGTTCAACAGGATTAACGAGATCTTTGGAAAGAGAAGAAAGAGGAGAGATAGAGATAAATAGAAATAGAAATAGATAGATAGATAGATAGATAGATAGATAGATAGATAGATAGATAGATAGATAGATAGATAGAGAAAGACACATTAGACAAATTAAAATCATTGTAGCACCGTTACACATGCCTATGACGCAATATGAAAATCACTAGTGCTAATTATGCGATAATGATCCGACAACGCGAGGGAGTCGACAAGGTGCGGGACCGTGAGACGAAAAAAAACCGACAAGGAAATCACAAGGCTATATTTCATGAACGTGAACGAATCCCGTGACTACGGCAGCGGCCGTGGAAGGAAAGGATATATACATATACTTATTCGGTCGTGGAATAAACGATAAATAGTAAAGTTTCTTATAAAGCAACAAAGCTCTCTCTTTCTTTCTCTTTATTTCTTCTTCTTCTTCTTCTTCTTCTTCTTCTTCTTCTTCTTCTTCTTCTTCTTCTTTTCTCGACAAGTACGGTGGTACTTTAGCACGCCATCGCTTCATTTTAAATGCAAATTCGTTTGGGTGGCGTGAACCACAGCGGCCCGAATTATTCTAATTACCCTCTTTCCCTCTTCCCTCAACTCCTTACCTTTCACCCGCACTTCTTGCCAATCTTTCTTACCACGCTCTATGCTCTCGAAAGCTTATTTGTCACTTCGATACAAAGATCGAGAAATCTTAAATCCTATTTTCAAGTAGAATAGTCAGTGTTGTTTATAAATTGACGATTAAGATAATGTTTAGTACAATGTGATTGTCAAAGAATAATTAAGTAAGAATGTATTTATAAATAAGATAATCAGTGTTAATCTTGAAAATTGTTGCAGAAAGTTCAAATGTATATACTGTACTATACAATCGAACCGTGATGACGATTGAAATCTATAAATTTGTAGTATATACTTATGTTATATTATACACATTTGTCGTTTAACTTCTCTGTAGTGAAATTTTTCCATTGCAGTAAATTGCTATAAAATAATTAGATTAACTATTGACAAGAAAACAAGTATTATTATCGACGAGCTACGAGAAAAAGTAATCGATGCAAGGTAACCGCTTCGAGTGCGCAAGTAAACGTGCAAAGTGTACTGGAAACGAGTGTAGATTATCGCGAATAACGTGTTCACGATTTGAGCGAGATGTCGTGCGCATGTAGGCCTAATATATTCAGATTTTTATGGCTGGTATCAGGGAGTGATATGGCGGTAGGTCGGTTGGTCCACCTTCCGGGCCCTTTCTTTCTCTCCACCGTCGACACCCGTTCTCTCGACGGTGATCACCGTTACAACGAAGCCTTCTTTCACGTACAACTTAAAGCGTGCGGAGAGAGTAACCTAATGAATAAACAAAAACTAGATTTTGCTTATATATAGGGCTATATATATATATACATATGTGTACGTAAAAGCGTGACCTCTTACCACCAATTTATATATCTCGACTCCGCGGTTCTCAAATCGACATGAATCTTTTTTTTACTGTCAAAAAGATAAGACTACAAATTAAGAAATAGAGAAAAATAATCATTTTCTCTTGTATATTTTAATTTGCATTAATTATAGAGGAAATATATAGTTACTAAAACTATAAAAATGATTTTATTTTATTCGGAGAGTGACGTGCAGAGTGACGTAAAATCACGCGTACATCATGGTTGCACTCGTTTACGACGTCGAGGAGAACAAACGAAAAAGGAAAGGCATGCGTGGGACACGTGTTCGCAAGAGTAACATCAACAAAACACGTGGCATGCGAGAAACGCGACGCTCTGACTTGTCGTGGCCAGGATCGTTTGATTTATAATAATCGTTCAATGCTCATTACGAGAGTCTTTATCCTCGTGAGATACAGACCAATCGAATTGCCAGCTAGCATTTTTGTCGAATCACATTTCTCTTCCCCCTCCTTTTCTTTCTTTTTCTAATTTCGTTGAAAAAAAAAAACCAAAAAGCTCATGTGCTCTTTGTCACTTGTTGTCGTCATTGTCGAAATCGACTAATATGATCGTAATTCATATAATAAGTACTCAATCTTAACATTTTGACTCGCTCTGCAATAAATTGTTTGTATTTTTTAAACAATAATTTAAACATTTGTTTTTTAACTTTAATATTTGATGCTGCTGATATTGCTCTGATATTTGTTTTTACTTTCCGAAAGCTAAAAATATTTTAGTTTAAATGATGGATTTTCCGAAAAAAAATTTTATAAAGGAAAGTATACAAAGAGAAAAATTAGAAAGTAGAAATACTATATTTTTGTCAAAAGCTTAAAGGATAATAGAGTCTCTCGATCGAGACGCAATATAAAGTAGCAATCCAGAAAAAATCAAATACCTACATACATATATTATTGCGACGACACGATGATGATTAGACTTGAAAAAAATGAGGTTTCGTCAAGGCTCTGAACGGCATAGCCATTTTGCTTATATGGATACCGCGTGTAACGTATGTAATAGTTACATCAGATTAGAGCTTAGGTCAGAGAAGGGTGCGAGCGTGTAACCAGGTCTAATGTAAGGCTAAGCATCGAATCAAGGGGGTAAAGGCATATCGTATTTATTACAAGTACACCTCGAAGTACGTGTCGCGCTGTATGCACTCATGTATACATGCGCGCGCGTGTGCACACAGGTATACACCTGCACGAAGGAAAGCAAGGGTAACGACGAAGTAAGGAGGTGCGGTGGTCGCACAAGGGCGGGCAAGGGGTGGTTCGATAATCGTGCATTAATTTGCATCACAAAGTACACGCCACCCGCCACGCTACGCACGCATTCCACGTAGTTTTCCGCTCGCTCTTTCTTCTCAGTGCGAGTTCTCAAATCGTAATTTCTACCGTTTCGGTGATCACACATTTGTGGTGAACATATCCGGTCAAAAGACGGAATTGTCAAAAAGATTAGTCTGATGAGTAATAACAGTAACTATACAAAAATATCTATTAAGTGATATAATTTTCTTGTAGAAAATAATCTATAGGTATGCCACATACTTAATTATATTAATATTTTATAATCTCTGCAAAATAATTTATGTATATGTATAATTAACGCAAGAATGAAAAAATATGAAAGTAAAGTATTATTAATGCTCTCGGAGAACGGTCGCACCGATTTCTAGACTATCTACTCAGGAATGAGAGTCACGGTTAGCGTCTACCAGCAATATTTTGCGGCGCTTCGGCTTATCGGTACGATTGCATATTTAAGGGTTGCCATGTCAAGCGTCAAGCGCGCCCTTTGAATACATTTAAATTCATTAACGGCGAAGGCTATACTCCCGCTATATACTCTATAATACATCTTACGGCAAGAACACGCATACACGCTATGTATACGTGCCTGAAATACGTCACCGATGAATCTAACACGGCGATGCGCACTATGTTTCATGTTGTACGTATTGATATGACTTATAGTTTGTTGTTGAACTTTAATGAGCATGTATATTCTTCTGTTTCAGATATAACAACAGTGATCGCTCGTCATCATGCCGCACACTGGTAAGTACGCGCGTACATTTGCTCTCTTTTTATTCAGATTGATTAACTTTTTTATTGCACAAACGTATTAATCATATGTCTAATTACAATGAAAGTTTATCAACTTTTTTTTCTGTTACCGACCAAACCTAATCCAACTCGGCACCTTTGTAGTTTGTTTGTGTATTTAAAAGTGAACTTGATCATGTTTCTCTCTGCTTTATTTTACTCTTATTATATGTACTTTTTAAAGAGAGTAATTGTTTCAATTATTTTCAATTTTTGTCAGCTTTTCTAAATTCTTAATTTGCGTCAACAAAAAGAAAAAGAACACTTTAACAATTAAACAGAATTAAGTTTTGAAATGCATCGATATATCAAGAGTATTGTTAACAAGAATGTATTTAGAAGACGATTTTATCAGGAACTTTGATGAGCGTCTTCGCAGATTCAGAGTAGTCTCTTAGTTATCAACGGAAGTTCATGTATTACGTATGATATCTTTTAAATATCAGCACATCTCAATCACAGATAATCATTAAAGGATAAAAGCTTAATAATAGCCGCTGTAAACTATCTTTTTTAATATATTTTATTTCGAACATATTTCTTGCATGCGTTCTTTTAAGACAAATGATGACAAAGTCTGATAGCGCGATAGTTGAATAGTGACTGAAACGTGTCAATTCGCGAGATATGTTACTCGACATTTGGTACGTCATTGCGATTATCGGCGCGACGTGCTCACCCTCATCAGGGAGAAAAAATCTGTTAACATGGACGAATTGTGATTATAGGCAGACAGGCAGGCAAGCAAGCAAGCAGGCAGGCAGGCAGGCAGGCAGGCAGGCAGGCAGGCAAGCAGGCAGGTGTAGAGAGTTTGGTTAGAGCCTAAATGGCCAACGCGAGATAGCGATCGTTGTGGCTCGCATTAGCCGACTAATTCTAAGCTAACCAGTATTATATCTCGGAGATATCCCTTTATGCACTTGTGATCTCGAAAAAACCTTATGTTTGTCCTTTGCATAAATGAGCAATTCGTATTATTTACTGCAGCGTATGTGATGGAGAATATGTGTCGCTAACATGTGATTCCGTTATTTTGCGGATCTTCCAGATTTGCACTTAGATAAAGATGCCATTTCGGCCAGTTTTTGCTATAATAATAACTTGGCCCGCCGTGTTTGTCGCTTTGTGTCGCATCCGTCTTCTGCCGTCCAAAGTACATAGCGTGTGTAATTTGCACATTTTCGTGTCACAAATTGGTGGTCTTAACGGAAAAAAAGTAAATGACACTAAAAGATAAATACTTAATTAAATAAGAATTATCCTGAATAAATGTTATTCTCTTATTGTTAGCGTACAAAACTTTGCATTTTGAACTTTGCAGTTTTCATCATTACCACTTCTATAAGATTATTTTAGCCAATAACTTTCTCGCTTATTTATTTATCTATTTGAGAAAAAATCTCTGTTACAGTAAATATGCAAAATCAAAGCCAATTTGAACAAAGAATATAGCCATTAATGAATAAAGCGCATGCAAGCACGCAACACGCGCATTTCCTAAAAGTAATTTCTCCCTCAAAAATAAGTCAAGATCGATCTTAGCGGCTGTGTCTTTTCGTCTTTTTTTTTAACCGACAGACCCTTAAATTATCCAATAAAGACAATCCGTCACGCCTTCAACTGATGGTTATTATCAGCATTTCCTTTTTGTACGAGTCCGTTGCCTGTAAATATCGCGTTTGTTCACGCTTGCGACAAAACCATGGTAATGTTTTCTTTCGCACTTTTAATCATAAGCATAATGACTTCTTTGCAAATTGCGCATTTATTTAATTTAATGGAAAGGGAAAGACACACATGAAATTCCTCATTGAGCATGTGCGCGCGTTGCATGTAGACAGAAATAATTATATCTGTGATCGGCTTTTCTCGAAGAAAAGTTTTTCGTAAAAATTTCTTCAGAAAATAAATATTACGGAAATAATCGCAGAGTCGTTTGTCATGTAAGTCCATAAAATGTCAAATAATGTTCAAATTCGAGGAACACATATAACGTGAGATAAATCGACTAAAACGTTTTTCTTTGGTCAGAATACCTGGTCGATCGAGATCATTATTTCTTAAGCTAGTCTGGAACTGTCGGCATCAGTGATCGAGGTAATGACATAATTAGTCGGTGCGGATGATAATTAGCGATCGTCCTGGTATGCGCAGTTCGTACATCCAGATACATCTCTCTATGTGAAGGCGCGTGATACGATTTATATAAAACGCTCGCGGCATTTATTTTCACTCTTTTTCGTCCTCTTATGGCTTTAAGAACGAGAGATCGTCGTTAGTAAACGCCGCTTCTGCGAGAGAAACCTTTTTCTTAGCTCCAATTACATAAAAAAAAAAAAAAGTTCAGGAATAAATCCGATTATCCTCTTTTACACTCCACGTTATTATATATTTGTTAAACACTTATTGCGTATATTCGATCGACGATTATTTTCACAGTGCTTCGATGGGAAACGCAAGAGACCGTTATTTAAACTTCTTAATCTCTTTAAACCTTTTTTTCTTTACTTTGCCTGCATTAACGTGTACAATTAATATATCATCGCATCGTCGCAATTTTTAACTTGTGTATTTGTTGTGTGTGTGCTACCATAACGGTTATGTAATTAAGATATATAGATTTTTTCAGATCAGAGTTTACGCTGTCAGCAGAGAAATGTTTGCCGGTTTAAATTTACGATTGGAACACTAATTAGAATGTCAGTCGAATGCTAATTGAAATTTCAATGGAATTTCGAGTCACTTATAAAATAATTATATCATTTACTAATCTCCGATGACGATACAGACTATCAAAACAATCTGAAATTTAAGGACATTTTGCTATACAAATAAGTTGAAATCGAGAATTTATAATACGGCTTTACTTTAATGGTAAAATTGCGTTTCGTATAATTTTGTTTCCGTCGTGCCAGAAGAGACGAACAGGAACTATCGTATAATTCACATTTTATTCAGCATCTTAATAATGCGCATCGGGGCGCTCGTGAATCGTTTAAACACTCGTTTTCGGTTGAACATAAAATCGGTGACTAATTGCCACTTTTTATTTGCTCAGAAAAATTTGCGGGGTATTACGGGTTTTACAAAATTTTTGATGAGATTATGCGATATCTTATGCGATATAATCGCGTGTGTAATGCATAAATAACTTGTCGTCTTCTTTGTGATTTAAACTTGCACACTGTGCATGTTTAAATCACTGTGCATGCACACGCTGAATACAAATTACATCGCCTGGCGTTCAATTTGGTGATTAAACATTTTATGGATGTAAATGTAAGAAAAATTAAACGCATCGTTTCTAAAAAACAAAAAATCAAAATATTTACCACTATACAAATATGTTCGTTTTTTATTAACTTTTATATTTTGTCGAAATAGATCAAAACTTCATTTTAAATCTTTATTACTATTATATTAATCTTTATCAGTTAGAGAACAGATATTTCAATGATACTCTAAAGCGGTCAAAATTTTATTACGCACAGAAGTTATTGACTACCATCACTACAATATCATTTCATTACATATTGGGAACTTTGTGAGCAAGATTTTTGGAGAATACGCGCGCTCTTAAATAAAATACTGACTCAGCGCAAACAGGAAGTAATTTGCGCGCGCTTCTTCATAAAAAAGGACAAAATAAAACTTTGACACGAAAAAATGTGTCCATGTCAAAAAGAGCAGTCCGCGCGCGCGCGCGTTGCACGTTTCAACGAATATTTAATATCTTTATCGCATAAATTTTCTTGTGAAAAAGTGTAGTCAAGTAGCATCATTAGTTGTATCTATACATTAATTATAAATAAACTTTGACGAGTGAACTCAAAGTTCACTGCGAGATTTTTTTCGTAAATAATATTACTAAAAATAATGATTAGATATGTTTTTTTTCCAAAAGAAAAAGAGAAAAAATAAAAAGAAAAAAGGTTTGTCCTTTTCTGTGATATGCGTCGCAACGATGTCATTAGAGCGCTAGTCAGGACCGCACACCAAAAAATGCACCTGCCGAGAGACCTTTTCGGACTGACCGCGCAAGCGCGCTATTACTGCAGATTTCGGTTCTTCCTTAAATCGATAAACACCTTTCGCAATGTTACTGCATCATCGCAAAATCTTAAATCTCAAACTGGCAACTTGAGCAGACCGGCGGGCGTCTTATCGTGTCATCATTATTTCGCTTTATTACTGCAATGACACGACTGACCGACTGTTCCAGGACAAGCCGGAGTGAATCAATTAGGCGGCGTCTTTGTGAACGGCAGGCCGTTGCCGGACTGCGTGCGCCAAAGGATCGTTCAGCTCGCCATGGTTGGCGTTAGACCGTGCGACATTTCTCGGCAGCTACTCGTGTCTCATGGCTGCGTCTCCAAGATACTCACGAGATTTTACGAGACGGGAAGTATTCGACCCGGTAGTATCGGTGGAAGCAAAACAAAGGTAAAACGCTATTCATACTGCAGAATTATCACAATACAGAATTAAGTAATATATAAAACAATGTTATTGAGTTCTTTTTCAAAATCAATTTGTATGATTGAACGTATGTAACAAAGTGTATTTATTTAAAAAAAAATTCATTTTTAAATTAAAATTGCATATTTGCTGCAATAAATGAACGGTAAGTAATAGTAGAGTTAAAAAGGGATTATCTCGGATTAGATCTGCAAAGATATGTGAAGACGAGCAATCGTCCATCTATATGTGTTAACGGACGACGGTACTGATGAGAGTCTCGCACAAAGTCGCACGTTCAAGTATTCCTGATGTGATTTTAAGTAAGGGCTATATTTTGACCGTGCGTGCAATTATCCAAACACCTTGCGACCGTGGCGCAGCATTTACATAATTTTATGGCTTTGCACGATTTTCTTGCTCGTACTACTATCGTACTAACTTTGCACGCCATCGAGCGATGTCTCGATATTAATCAATCTCTTGTCAATTGACATGGAAAAATTAACCTTTTATCGATCGACAAAGAAGTCGCGTCACCTTTTTTCGGTGTTTCGATCGCTCTGAAATCGATTCAATTTTATGAAATTATCATTGTTTGATTCAAATATAACAACAAAAAATTTCTCTGACACAAAGTAGATATTATTTAATATTTTTATTGTCAGCGAAATTTAACAATATGTTGTAGTTCGCGTCTCACACTCACTTTATTACTTACATGTCTGTTTCATACAATGGTTACTACTCGCAACGTCTACCTTTTCAAGAACATCGTTTGACCATCTTCTTTTTCTAAGGATGCTCGTCGCAAAACTGCACCGATTAACGCAGTGACGAGCTATGTACGCGTACTCATGCGATATCGCGTATACATATAGTGCCGCTAATGATACTATAATTGCACGATGTGTATATGTACAGGCAATTTCTTACACGTTACACTAGTCTTACCGAGAATGCGGCGCATCACTGTTACTTTCTGCGTGCGTTTCAGTTTAATGAATTTATTTTAATAACATCTGCGTCGGCGTGCATCGACCTTCTTTGAATTACACGAATACGAGTTTAATACTCTCCAGCAAGAATGAAAGAGAAGATAGAAAGAAAAAAGAAAAGACGTAGCTCGCCGTTAGGAACTTTAAAGAGAGCGTTTAAATTCCGGCTCGTGTGGCGGCACGATTACTCTCCGATGTGAATGATAATCATCATCTACCATTACCGTAGTTTAGTTTTATTTTATTTATACACGTCAAAATAGTCCCGTGGCAAAATAATGGTCGCGCGTTTAATACTGATCAGTTCTAAAGTCTATTAACTGTGTTCAGAGAAATTTTTGTTTTCGATTTTTTTCTGTTCTTTTTTTTTGCTTTTGTTTCTTTTTTGTGAAAATTGAAAAGAAATGTAGAGAGACAAGTGTGCATAAAAAATCACTTTTTTGCCTTGTACACGTGCAATGTATTTGCCCGCCCACCGTTGTCCGCACAAAAGATGTTCTCGAAATGATCGTTAGATAAGATGCTGGCTCGTCACTGTCCGCGTCTGTGAGTAGCTTTTACAACGATTGAACATTATTCCGATAATTAAATAATGGTTACTAGATAAACCCTTTGATTTGCTCGGGCAATATTAACTCTTCGAGCGTTCGAAAACCGGCATTTAATCGGCTTCTTTTATTCCCTCATGTCGATTTTCATCAAAGAAATATGTTCCGACTTTCTTGCTGAGTAACGAAAGATGAACATACATTGTCAAGATAACTCTTCATTTTGAGATTGCTCTTTTTATTTTGAGTCTGTTATTACAACTGTCCGCGCTCTTAGCGCGTATCTCACGATACTGCCCTTTGGTCACAATCTTCAGCGCAAATTCGATTTGCGTTTTTTCAAACTATATTTTATTTCTCAAGCGCTTCGTCTATTACTTGTATTTATCCCTTGTATTTACAATAAGATCTGATAGTAATATATTTAATTAAATTTAATTTCGAAAGAGATGCAATTCTTATAACGACGTCACAATCGTCTGTCCCGTGCATCGATGCATGATTGCACGATGCACGTTGGCGTGCAATCTCGTGAAATTAGTCTAGCAACTAGTATCGTCAGATCTACACGTGTACTCAAGTACGTAACATTTTCGAGGCATGTCCGCGTACTTTCTCCTATCTCTCTCTCTCTCTCTCTCTCTCTCTCTATATATATATATATATATATGTATATATATGTATATATATGTGTGCGTATCAGTGCAATACATGTCGAATAATAGACCAGCGGCACGACAGAGAAAATTGTTTCATAAAAGATGCACAGGCCACGTCAAAGTCGTGATAATAAAGTGGAACGTCAAGAAAAATATATCGTGTGCTACCACCGTCTCCAAGTTTCTTCTATATCAAGTAACAATATAACAATACTCAGATAATACACAGTGACGGGACGTACTTGTCGATGCTTTGTCCTATTTGTTTATCTTAGATTTGCAATTGCGAATTTCTTGAAAATCGTCAAGGGAATTCCATTTACCGTGGAATGATTATTGTCACGGCTTCGATTCGGGAAACATTCGTTATCTCGACGTACGATTCACACTCAACGATCGGACGTTTTTCTCCGTTTATCTGGCAATTAAGATCTTGCTCGTGGTATTGTCTCGAAATACACGTGTACGTGATCGTTCAAACGTATATTTTTTTTTATGCATGACTTAGCAACACTGGAACACCATGACAAATAGAAACAAATTGTAATTTGTTCTTTTAAAGAGAGCATAGAAAAACTTGGGTTTTAAATAATATTTTCTACTCTGTCTAACGTTTAGAGAGTTTATTGTATTTTGCAAATATTATGTAAATATGTTAGAATTTTTTTTTGTTGAATTTTATGATGTCTCAATTTTTACATATATATTCCGCTTTCTCTATGATAAGCGAAAGAAAACGCTGATTTGGTCGTCTCGTGTCCAACAATATCTCGCAGCCAAGAGGTGGGGTGAGAAAAAAATGAAACGAAAGGTGTCGACGATCATCATCATTCTTATCATTGACAAGCACGCGGGGACGCATGTAGCGAGGCGGGCAACTTGCGCGCGATAATTATCAAGTTGGTCAACCTGTTCACGTAGGCCGGTATACGCGGGTTATCTAACGTTTAGTGTGCCAGATGTCCATCCTGCCTGGCCAATTTCCTCCGACAGTCATACACGTACGTACACGTACACACATGTGCACGTGTCCGCGCTTCGATGTGCTCGAGCGGCGACGTGAGGGTTCGCACACATTAGGACGACGTACCGCCTATATAGTCGGACCCGGGGTAATTGTGGCAACGACGACGCGACGGAAGTGTCAGATTAGAATCTGAGATGCTCCCGGGAGCACGCAATGCTTGCCCTAACTCCCTCAAACTATTAAACCGCCCTCTCCGGGTCTCCTCGCTACTCCCGAGGTATAGTTCTTAAAACAACCCCGTCAGTCGTGTCTTCACCTGCGAGAACATTGTTTTTTACATAATAACAATAATTTATACTTGATAGCTTGATATTTTAGCAGAGTTTGCTTTGCATTTTTATTATCGTTTAAATCTGAAATACGTATGTACAAAAAAAGCAGTTTGTTGCTTCTGAATAATCTTGAAAAATTTCTCGCTAATTGTTTGTTGAGACATCGCATCGGATCGTATCAACGCAAAATGACAAGATATTGCTTCTTTGCAAAATGAATTTCCTGTGGGAACAGTATAATCGTTCGGATGATACTGTTTCATTTGACAATACATACGAGTACATTCCGCAAATAAAAAGAAACACGAACATCTGCACCAGACCCGTGAAGATAATCACCTTTTTTTCAACAATCTCGGTGCATCTCACTTGCACCACTTTTCTCGCCGCTCGTCCTCAAAGAAATCGGCGATCTTGAAATCTGGCCGGAATAATATTTCCATCACGTTAGCATAAAATTATCCGCGTGCCACATATATGTTACCATTTCATTAGCAAGTCAAATTGACCGTTTGGACTGTCAGATTTGAGCACCACTGGAGTCCCCTTTTGGAAGTACAACCAATGGTGAACCTTGTGGCAGTTAGCACCAGCCAACTTGATCTTTTGATGAAACGGTTACACTAAGAGAAATACATTAAAAAGTACTTACATTTTGCCACATCAAAAGGACTCTTCTCGCTATCTGTTACTGACGACCCTGTTATATTTTTTTTATTCTTTCTCTTATGAACGACATATGCGTGTACAATTCACTCGATTATAATATGATAATATTTGTGTTAATTTGTTGATGATGAGATAACGAACACAATTCGGCTCTCTTTCTCTCTCTTTCTCTCTTTTTTGTTTTCTCTTTCTTTTTCTTTCTATGTGTGTATAAAAAAGGCCATTTCACACATGTTATTGTAAGACGTTAACAAACGGAGCATAATGAGCATTAAATATGATTGACAAATATATACATGTATGTATATATATGTGTGTGTGTGTATATGTATACAGGGTGTCCCAGAATTGGTGTAACATCTCTCGTAGACAGGTAGAAGAAGTAAAACTGAGTCGACAAGCCCTATACCATTTTGCTAGATTCGCAATAGTTATCGAGATCTTAATTAACAAAGATCCGCGAATAAGCGTGCATCGGGCTGTCTTACGCGCGTAGGACAGCCCGGCGCGCTTCGTACGATTACATTTTAATATGTATATGTTATAGTATATGCTGTTATATTAGCTCCTCCCATAT